ATATCTTCCTATGTTGTTTGAAACCTTAACCCATTCACCGAGGCTGGGACATATATTTCCCAGTGCCCCCTCGCACTGCAACAAATGATTCCCATTGTTGATGCTGGTTACGCCTTCCTCTGTTGGGTCCAAGTTTATCATTCATCACACATTTGAACACCAATTCACTCACTTTCACCATCTTCTAAGCTATCTGATGAGTCAAGTGTATCAAGCATACTTACATGGTAATTAGGGTTACTACTCTCGCTCTAGCGATGTGGACATAGTTGTCGTAAATTCTGCATAGGCATCTTATTGGTTATTGAAGGGCTGAGGGGAAAATATTGACAGAAACCATATAGCAACATTAGGTGGGATTCCATTAAATACTTTCCAACTCATTTTTATCCCACACATCATGCATAGCAATTTTGAATAACAATGGGAAATATTTATCCCAGTCGTAGCGTGAAGGGGGGTTGGAGCACTGGGCAATATACATCCTAGCCATAGTGAAAGGGTCAATTATTTTCTTGTATGTTTTCTATCTTAGGAAGGACATGTTCAGTTTTCCTGTACAAAAATCTTTTAAGTATTATGAATTTTTTACTTTGTAGATATTTATAATACCGACGTATTTTACACCTTAATTACAAGTCCATTAATTAGTTGAAATTACGTAAGTTACTTTTAAATTACAGATGTGGTACTTCTGGATAAACCATTTTCCACAACATATCCTGTAGCACTCACTAATAACAAGAAGTTCAAGCAGGATCTGCAATATGGAGCTAAACTGAGTTCTCTAACTTTGAAGAAAGATACTAAACACAAAGTAAAACAGTAATCTTTATTCAAAAAAACATTGATAAGCATGTAGAATAAGAGGCTAATGACAATGAATTTGATTTGCTTGAAATTGAGTTTTCTATACGATTCTACAACAGTTTACACAGATATAGTCAGCTAATTATAGTCATTATGAAGAAAAACATTAATTGTCCTGGAACACTGACTTTAGGAAATGCATTATCTGATTTAATAACTGTTTACCATTTTGCTGAAAAACTAACTTAATTAAACCTTTGTTAATTAAATACAGTCAACTGAAAAAGTGTGAGGAGAGATAGATAGAATGGATGTCACAATGATAAAAAGTATTTTTAAAATTGCTGAAATGTTCTGGAGAATTATTTTTAACCCCACATGAGAGTTCTGACAGGATGTAACAAGCAAGAAATTCATTCTGATATGGCAAGTGATTTAGTATTATGTACCTGTTTTATTTTTAACCTTTTAATATATTTTTCATGACAAAATGGTAACTTCTCAAACTCGGCACGTCTAAATTATTAACGAGTTTGCAGTTAAATGCAAAGCAATACAATGGGCTATCTGTGCCCTATGTACCACAGCTATCAAAATCTAGTTTTTAGTGTTAGAAGGCTCTCTAACTACATGATGGTCTATCATCGTAACACCTAGCTAACTTGCACGAAAAAAGACTTGAAACCTACAACCTTTTATTATAGGTTAGCTAGGTGTTACGATGATAGACCAAAATTAAAGTATAAACAAAATATATTTTATAAAGCAAAGCTTTAAGCAACTGACTTTCTTGAAGTTTAATATGAAAATGAAATGGCAGTTATTTCTGTTGCTAGGAATTATAAATAGCAAACAGAAATTTGTGGTAACTTCACTTTTTAACCACAGAAACAAGTTTCGGTTTCAAAATATTTGGAAATTAATTTCAGAAAAAAAAAACACATACAATTGTCATGTTTTATGCAATATTAACAAAACATTTCTATGTGACTAGCCCTAGGCTGGTATTTGGGCTAGTGGCCTAAAACTTTGAGCCCCTTATTTGCATATATATCTAAGAAGAAAAAAGATTAAATCTGTATCATACGTAACCACATGAAATTACCATGTGACAAGTTAGTAATAGCTCTATTCAGTCGCTGTAGATTGTTAAAAACAGTTTCACACCCAAAGCTTTACCACCCACAAATTTATTTGATATCTTACTGCTTCATAACTATCTTATTCCTTGGGAAGAAAAATGATATGGCCCTACAAATAAAGGTTACTAAAATCTGTAAGCAACCAAATTTTTATAACATAATATCCAAAACCTTTCAATCTCACACTTCATTAAAGGCTAAAATTCAAGTATCCGCTAAGTTACAAAGTGTGTACAAAAAATTATTATTTCCAAAACTAATGAATGCAATGGTGTTGAAACTATTCATGGCTGTAATTGTATTAAATTACTGTAAATACAAACAATTACACTGCCATATAAGTGCTACTGTAAAGCAAAGGTTGTAGCAATAAAACATATAATACAATTTCAAACTTGATATAAGGGATCACATATATTAGGCTTACTAGATCATGTTGTTGATGATGTAACTCACCTGCCATCTGGTGATGGTACTTTTGACGGTTTGTTACTATTTGAAGTTGCAGTACTCCTTATTCATACTTTTTGCTTCGTTTTATTTTTTAATGAATAAGTTTACTACACCCTTACACATACTGGAATTAAGTTATCATTTAAGTTGTGTTGTATCGAAACGTTCCTCCTGAAACCTAAGTTGTATTAAAAATAGTTTTTCCAATGCTCTTTGATATAAAAGTCATGCGCTTTCTTCTTTAATAACAAATAACAACAAAAAATCTGAAAGTTCTTGCTCTGAAAGGAAACTTTTTTTTGAACAGACCATTGAAAGCCATTTTTATTAACAACATAAAATTCATAAATGCTATAAACATGGATATAAAAATTCTAATTTTTTTTTGGCTGTTAGGAAATTGAATTTCCTTAAGTCTTATAGACTTTGCCAAACGTGTTTAACTTGTGTGCTTAAATTTACAGCTCCTAATGGCATGGTTATGTCACACACGTCTTGTATATCTTGATACAAATACTTATATAAAAAAAATACCTTCACTTGACAAGTATTCTATTAATAATATGTAGCATTTTTTCTTTGCCACTTTTTGTCTCTGCAGAGTTCAAAACTGTCTTGTAATATACACTGAAGAAATATAATCATACAGTATTTTCTGAACACAGCTGCTGTTTGTTAAGTTAGATTAGAATTAATGTCACTTGCGGATGTATCAGAAATTTGGCTGTAACTACAATACCCACTGGTTGCAACTGATGTATTAGAGGATCTCTTGTGCTTCATTTTCCGTGGTTTGAAGAATTTCAATCCTGTGTGAAAAGCCCATTTTCCTGATGTATGTAGAGAAGAAACTGATGATGTTCCTGGTACTGGAGATACCTCTTCTTTGTCATCACAACAGGATTCTCTATCATTTTGTGACTGGACATAAGGAGGATTATTTTTAGCAGAGAAAGGAACAGATGTTACATATGTTGGAGGTATGGAACATGAAATGCTTGACTGTTCACTTACAGACGACGTGAATTCTCTACCATTCTCTCCTTTAATGGAATGAATTAACCGATGCCATACCCAATCATGAATGTGTAGTTTAGTGAAGTCAATCTTCGAAAGATACCGTAAAAGGTGAGGAACATCACACGATCTGTAAATGATTGGGATCAACTTCCGCTGCTGTTGTTCTAGAAAAACAAAATTCAGTAGTTAACTAGCAATAGTCAAACTAAACATTACAACACGTGTTTTATAATAAGATATAGCTTCATTGTTTGATACCTTTGTTAATTGACAAAAAAAGTACTTCGCATTTCCTCACACCCATGACCACGAAAATGAAAATTGTAAAAAGTAAAAGAATATGAATCAATACTTACCTACTGCTAAGCTTGTAGCATAGCGAGTTTGAAATTCACATTCAACACTTTTCAAAAACTCCGGTGACAGTACAATCAACACCCTGTTGCACCTATTGATATAAGTGTGCATTATATGTTAAAATCAAGCAAACTAGTAAAATTATTAATGGCAATACATACACGTGTTATTCCTCTCAAAAATGTACTGTGTTTTTAAAATGTGCAAAAAAAAATCCTTTTTAAAACAAAATAATATTTTAATCAACTGTGTAACTTAAAATCTTCAAACACGTTTAGAAGTTTTAAATTACATCAAATTTTCACCAAAAAGTTTAGAATAATAATAAGAACAAAAAATGTATCATTAATTTTTCATAATAAAAGTAACAATACAAGTTCCTTAAGCTCAGTAACATACTTTTATTTTTAAGTTCCGCACTTACGTTTTGCTTTTAGCAGCAACAAGTCACATGCAGGTTTCACAAATAAATTGTCATCATGTTAATACAGTTTTGATAACATTATACAGAGGATCAACTGATATCAGTTACATTTGATTGTACAAATTCTATTTCTTGAAGAAAACCATAAAACTAACAGTTTTTATCTATGTTCCCCAATCTTGTATAGGACAAGTACTCATATTTTCTATAACGAGTAATCAGAAATGAAAGCTTTTTTTTTTCTATGATGAAATGTGCAACTACCATGAAGTTGAAAGAAATTAAACCATTAGGTTTTTAAACAGGTTAATGAATTATATTACAAAAACAAACCTTTCATCAATTAAACGAGCAAATGCTTCATATTCCATCTGTCCAAGCAAGAGGTCTCGGTCTCGGATGAACAGCCTGATGCCCTCAGATTCCAGTTGTCGGGAGAGAATGTGAACACATTCTATATCTTCATCAGTATAACAAACATATGCATCATAAAGGCTCACTTCTTGTCCTACAATAAAAACAACAACATTTAGATCCTTCAGATAGCACAGGAACATTTAGATAAAAAACATTTAGATCCTTCAGATAGCACAGGAACATTTAGATACAAAACATCAACATTTAGATCATTCAGAGAGCACAGGAACATTTAGATAAAAAACATCAACATTTAAATCCTTCAGAGAGCACAGGAAGATTCAGATAAAAAAAAAAACATTTAGATCCTTCAGAGAGCACAGGAACATTTAGATTTTTTTTATAAACTTAAGGGTACATTCAGTTATGTTTTTACAGAACTTTACGAAACCTTTCAGTCACTGTGCAAGTAACATAGAGCCTTAAGTAAAGTCACAATTTATAAAAATACTTTAACCCTTGTCATTTCTTTTCCACAAGAAACACCGAGATTTAATGTTAAAACCAATTTTTTTTCCTAATAGTAACTATAAAACTTAGCAAGTTTTCATCAGCGACATATCAGATGGCTAAGTATTTAAACATAATACTACAACAATGTATTGTGTTATAAATTTATTAACTTGGCAGTATAAGAGCTTTTTGAGGGGGCATATTCCCCCCACTTTTGGAGGGGATGCATTCCCCCCAATAATTTCTAAACAGCAGGCTATGTAAATCATATAATTAAACATTATTATTACTTTGTTGGTATTTTAAAGCCAAAGAACTATTATTGATGGTAGCATTACATTTGGCTGGTCTAAACACGTATATATATATGAAATTTCATGCTATTGAAACAAGAACTTAATAGTTTCCGTTCATTCATAAAACCAACCTACCACTGACGTTTGTAAGAATTGTCTTTTGAAAAACCTACTCAAAGGTTATCTGTAATATGCATCCTGATGTTATTTTTTTTAGCAAGTCCAGATAATAGTATCATTTTAAAATAATCATGTGTATCATAATCATAAAAGCCAAGTGTCAGTTGTTCACGATCGATTTCTCTGAATTTTGTGAGTCACACGAGTCCAATTCAACTTTTTCTGCTATATAAAAGCCTCTCAAGGAGGGAGTTTTTATACCAAGGATTAATTTAGCACCGAGTGAAATTAATTTGCCGTTTGTTATGAAGAGAAGTTTTTGAACGATGATCGAGTATTTACAAGAAACGTGGTTTAAAGAGAACTATTGCAATAATGTCATTGATATAATATGAAAATAACTGTGATCAATAAATACTGGGACAAGGATCAATGCTGGGAAGAGACACTCTTTAAGTAAAGTAGATATTGCTCATGATAGGCTTTTGTTTCCCAAAACTAGAAGGTCCTTAAATTTTCTTATGTCTGTTTACGGATGGTAAAGTTATAAATGCATATTGGAGGATTCACGTCTGGTAGGCTTTGGTCTCCCATAATTTTTGATGGGCTTTTATATATATTTATGTGTAAGTACTTAAACTTATTTACACATTACAATAATTGCTTAAATGTATTGGTTTTTTCCAGTAGGTAATGTATATCCTACATGCGTTATCCTCTTGGTTGCATTTATATATGGAATTATGAGTAAATAAAAGATGCTTTGAGAACATAACTGAAAAATGTATTTTATTGCCCCCCCCCAATAAAAAAGTACTCCTACGGCTCTCACTATCCATGGAGCAAAAGAGATAACGCATAAATATCATATAAACCTCCCTGCATAAAGCGATTAACCTAAATTCAGAGGGAAATGATAGTCTAGTGTATCTTCTTACTTCTTAGATGATTAAGGAAGAAGTTGATAATACCTTTATATTCACTATTGGTCACATCATCAACTGTCAAATGGTTGGGATGATCTGCTGGGAAAGCTGACCGGGTACAAGAACTCACTAATAAAATAAGTTACATATAAATATATGCTTCATCAACTCAGCTAAAATGTTACAATCATTACATGGGATAGAAGCTGATAATATAATGTACCTTAATACACACACTTGTACATACTTTAAAGCTACATGTACGTATTTAACACTTGTACATACTTTAAACCTACATGTACGTATTTAACACTTGTACATACTTTAAAGCTACATGTACGTATTTAACACTTGTACATACTTTAAACCTACATGTACGTATTTAACACTTGTACATACTTTAAAGCTACATGTACGTATTTAAGAGTTGTGGTGGAAAAACACATAAATAAAATCCTTAAAATACTCAAACATGAAGTATCTTTTGTGACTCATGCACTTTGAATAAAACAACTACTAATAAATTACGATACTCTTGAAAATGATATAATTAGAGAAAATACAGAACCTTTCATCGCAAGCTACAGTTTTATATGCGACAATAGAAACTTGAAAATAGTTTTTAGTCAGGAGTAAAATTAAAGAATACCATGTTTTTTGTTTAATTACTTAGGAGAAAAAAAACTTAAATTCTTTGACTATTTTGAATTTTTTTCTAGATTAAAAGATATAATAATAAACAGTTTTGGTAATTAAGAAAGTTTAATGTTTGTTAAAACTTTCAACAAAACATACAATGATCAACAATGTATATATATCAACTATATATATTTTTTTTTACTACTCTATGCAATTACTAAAGACTGTTTACTTTGTTATACAGTAAAGTTTAAGTAACCCTAAACCCAAGAAAATAAGCCAATAGAAACCTAGTCTTTACAGTCTATTTGATAACTTTCCAAATAGAACTAGAAAACTATATATATATATGATTGAAAAATGCTAAGTTAGGGTAAAATATTTTTTGGAATCTCATATCAGCAACATTAATCACTACAAGTAGTTTACAATGTTTGATTGACAAAAGTTTTTTTATTAGTAAGCTAAGAATAATAAGAAAATATTTTTTATACCATTAGGATCTTGTAATGGAGATTCTTTATAGCACCATTTCTGCTTCCTCTC